TGAATTTAATGTAAAGTTAGAATTCGATGCCAAAATAAACCCTTTCAGGTTGAATAGCATAATCAAAAACCTACATTCTGAAAGGTTTTTCTCTTTTTAACGAAGAATGTCTTACATGTAATCGCTCTCTTAAAGAACCTCTAGAATCTCAAGAAAGAAAAATCTCGAAATTGTTTAGATACCATTGTGAAGAGGGCATATCGAGGTACAAACTTAGTGAAAAAAATTTCCTCTGAAAAATTTGCTAATTTGTTCTTAATTTCGTCTACTAAAATTAGCCTGGAAAAATACTTTTGGAAAACATTTTTGCACATCGACATGTGCTCCCAACTGTCCTCTACTGAATGGTGAAAATCGCAGATCGCTATGGCTTTCCATTCGAAAGGGATAAGCGTTTCTTTCGAGTACCTTCTTTTAAAATTTCGATACTAAAGAGAAAAAAAAAATCTATTATTCTAAATCATTATTTCAGTAGAAATTTTCATTTTTTTTCTCATTGAAGAATGATTGATGTTTGAATGAGATTATACTTTGTCTTGGTTTAAACATTGGTGTTCAGGAAATGATTCACTTTCACTAGAGTTTTGTGTTGTTTTTTTGCTTGAAATAATCATTTCTTGTCAGTGATAGAAAAACTTGTTCGATACTCAATAGACTAGTCGTCTTACAAATCAATAACGACATGTCATTGATGCAAATTATTAAACAATTATAGTTTCAATAATTACTTTAATCATATATAAATCAATATGCAATAAATTCTATTTATATGATGCATATTTATTATATTTTCTTATATGTATCTTTTCATACACTTAGCAAGAAAATAGGATGTATAGAGAAAGAAAAAAAATAATAATAACTTGAAGAAAACAAAAATAGAGATGAACAATTCCAAAATGCATGTGTGCTATTTTAAGCATGAACAAAGAAATAATAACAACAATAATTTCAAGAAAAATACACTATATACATAATCTGACAAAAAACTTTTTCTTTTTAACATGGTCAATTTTTCATAATCATGATAATTAAAATAAATTTGAAATATATATATATATATATATATATATATAATCATTTCGCTACTGTATTTGTTCTATCATTTCCTGTTTCATCATCACTTTCTAGAAAAATCACACCATTCGAATCGACATTTGTTGTACTAATAGTCGTCGGTCGAGGTTGAATAGGAACTAAACCAGCTAGAATAAAAACAATGATAATCATTTAATTATTTATATTTCATTTTTATGAATTAAATATAATGAAAGTAACATCTGACTAGGAAATATCAATTTTAGATTCCGTTCCTAGGAATTCGGAATTAAATTATAAAAGAAATACAGCATCAACAAAATTAGAATTTTTCTTGTCTATAGATATTCCATAAAGTATGAATATTTAAAAATACTCCAGATTAAATGATACTACTTAGGGCATATCAAAAGTAGTGGCGCCCGCATCTCAATTTCTTATAGAAGGCTTGAGTAAATTTTCTTTTTTTATGAGGTGATAGAGAAAACGAAGCTCTATTTTTCTGTGCTATTTCATCTCTATTTAACTGGTATTATAATAATAGAATTTCGATAAGAACTGTTTTTGCGTAAAACTTCACTAATTCATTAGTACGCTTTCTATTCCAATTTCTAATCATTTAATACGTTATACTTAAAAACAAAAGATACCAAAAGATGCAGCGTGAAAAGCTCTACAATTTATAAAGAACAGTTTATTTTGTATTTGAAATAAGTAAAAAGAAATTTCTCTTTGGATGATTTTTTTCGGGCAACGAAGATTGGTTACACAGAATTTTGTTTTCTTTTGACAAGGCGACATAATTAAAACAAACTTTATTATGTAAATTGTAGAGTTTTTCACGCCGCATCTTGTGATATATTTTGTTTTTTTTTGAACAAAGGATATCAAATGACAAAAAGGTGAAATAAGAACAAATGAACTTATCTTACATCAAAAACTATAGTTTTCGCACATTCGAAACTTGATCACTCAAAATTTTGTTCATTTTGAAAACAAAAAATACAACTATAAAAAAAAGTAATCTTATGTAAATTGTAGATCTTTGCACGCTGCATCATTTGGTATATTTTGTTTTTTAATACAACGTATTAAGCGATTCAAATATTTAATCTACCTCACGCGTCAGTGAAATTTTACGCAAAAACAGTTCTTATCGAAATTCTATTATTATAATACCAGTTAAATAGAGATGAAATAGCACAGAAAAATAGAGCTTCGTTTTCTCTATCACCTCATAAAAAAAGAAAATTTACTCAAGCCTTCTGTAAGAAATTAAGATGCGGGCGCCACTACGTTTGGTATGCCCTAAATACATCTAAAAATTCTGTGATTTGTTTTATATCAGCTAGTCTAGATGAATATTAATTTGAATAAAGTTTCAGATTAAAGCTCGAATTCTATTTAAAATCTTTAGACTTATTCTATTCTATTGGATTTATAATTATAAGCAAAAACAAACTGAGTTATTTCAAATAGTTTTGTTATTTAAATTCTTAAAGATATTTCGTTGTTTAATTGACAAATAAAAAATTTTCATTTTTAATTACCTGTAGTATTTTGATTCATCATTGATTGTTGTTGTATACGTCTATTTGTTGGTTTTGTTATATTATTTGTCATATCTCTACCATTTTGCATATCATAAATACTTTGAAGTACTCGTGCAATATCTAAATTATATTCATTAACATTTTGTAGTGGTTGATAGATATCGGAATATAATTGTTGAAAATTTTGATTTTGTTGAAGAAGTCTTCGGCCTTGTGTCGATGCTAATTGTTGTTGTTGAGCAATAAGAGCATTTAATTGTTGTTGTTGTTGAAAACGTTGCAGAGCTATTTGACGTTGATCAGGTAAACGTTTTAAACTTTCATATTCTTCAAGAGCTATTTTGTTTTGTTTTTTTTTTAATGAAAATAATACATAAGAAAAAAAAAAAGAAAAGATAAGAAAATGAAAAAATTTACCTCGACGTCGTTCTTCAGCACTTAGACATTCATCAAGTTTATTTTCTAATAATGAATCATGAGAATGATATGAATGTATCCAACGACTATGTTCATATAAAAGATCAAGTAAAAGATGATCTTTTGGTATTGGATAATTAAAATTTGTATCTGATTCTGTTAAAAGTGTTGATGTTGATCGAGCTTCTGGTAATTGTTCTGGTTTAAATTTATATAATTCTTTTATATCACTTTGAGTAAAATGACGATCTAATTGATGATCATCAACCACACTAGAATATAACAAAAAAAAAAAATTAATATAAGATTTTTGATATTTTTCTTTTGATTTCTACCGTTGTGATATTGATTGTTTAACAACTTGTCGTTGATAAATCTTTTCTTCCATTGTACCATGAGCTAAAAGTCGATAGACATAAACTGGTTTCTTTTGACCAAAACGATATGAACGAAATATTGCTTGAGTATCATGACTAAAGGAAATAAACAAGAAAAATTATTATAGAATTAAGTTATTTGATCAAATAGGCTTTTTTTTCAAAACTATGCTTTTGATAATATCGATTAAATATATATTTAAAAACTACATAAGAAAAAAAGAATATTGAACTTCGTTTTTGTGATGATTTCTGATTCATTTTTTTTTAGATATCTAAAATTTTCTAGATACATAATTCAAGATGAGTATAGTTGTCTTCATTTTTTTTTTCAAAATCACAATCGATAGTAGGAATATCCTTTTCAAATGTGGCTCCAAGAAACAAACAGATCCATGCTATGCTTTGTTCATTCAAATCTGACCAAGGATTACTCCAATGAATTGTACTATTATCGGTACTTTATGTCAACGCACTAAAATGTTTTTTTCAATAAGTCACACAAAATACAAGATAGCGGAATGCGATTTTCAATAATCGATAGCCAAGACTCTCAGGGATCTTTTCATAATAGAAACATCTCTGGAGAAAAATTCCAAAGATTGGTTTTTCAGAACTCTTAAGATTTTCATACTGTTCGGTCAGATAGGTTTAGAAAAGCATGAAATGATAGATTATAGATCAGACTGAGTTTTATGATCATGATAGTTTACAAAAACCTACAAAAATCAGCAAAACGATAGGGTCAGCTCAAGAAACGTTTAAGAAGTCAAAATTTGATTGGTCAGCTATTAAACGATCAGACGAGTCCTTGATACAAATTTTCACAACGATACTCTAAAGCTATTTTCCATTATAACTTGACTTGTAATATAACTATTCGATAAACAAAATTGTTGTTCTCTTTCAATCTACGCAAGATTAAGCTCTATAGTTTGTTTCATTCAAGATTTATTGACGTTTTCTCAACAATCTTGAAATCAACCAAACGACCTCCAACCAAGTTAGCAAAGGTAACTGACATAACAGTTTCAAAATTGAATACAAACATTATCATGCAACTTATAATGGTTGACTATCCCTGTCATGATCTATGATAGCTTAGCTAGAGGTTGTTTGGTCGATTTCGGAGATCTTTTGAAAACGCGAATAACTTCTGAACGAAACAGTTCGATTTTAACAATTAAATTTTGATCTATATATTCGTCTTATTCCAATGAGGAGTGAAAACCGTAGGTTTCTATCAGAAAAATAATCATCTATCTTATATTTTGTCATCGATAGTAGTTTCAAATTATCATATAGATTTATTTTTATCAAAACTTAAGAATTCTAAAATAAATTTTTATATTTACCTCGGATTCCAACTTGCATCAAAAACAATAACACGATTACTACCAGTTAGATTAATTCCAATACCACCAGCTAATGTTGATATAAGAAATAATCTAGCACGTAAATTTGATGTATCATTAAATGTTTTAGCATAACGTTTTCTTGATATAATTTCTGTTTGACCATCCATTCGAAAATAATCTTGATCACGTATCCATTGTACTGGTTCAGGTATATGTTCATTTGTAATATTATCATTATTTGATGAAAGAATTTCACGTAATTGTCGTCTTGATTCACATTGTTTTTGATATTCTTTTTCATTTTCAATATGTAAATATTTTAGAAAACTTTCAATATAATTTAATGCATATAAACTACGTGAAAATAAAAGAATTTTATCACCTATTTCAGCACATTTATCAATAATAAATTTTAATAATAAAAATTTTCCACTTAATTCTATATCAAATTTACTTTCTTCAGGTAACATATCTAAGAATGGAAACCAAAATTGTGAACGCATTTCATTTAACCATGGTTTATAGGAATTTTCTTCTTGTTCTTCATTATTATTATTATTTATTTCTTGTGTAGAATTTTGATTATTTTCTGTATCAAATATATTTGAATCAATAATTATTGATGACGAACTTTTTTTTAGTTCATTATTTATTGTTGTACGACTACGTGTAGGATAAGTTTTAATTATTTCAATATCATGATCACTATTTGTTGATTTTGAATCTGAATCAATAATAGCATCAATTTTTATATTATCTTCTGGTGAATCAGAATCAAGTGTTGTTGTTGTCGATGAAATCGAAGTTTTACGTTTTGTTGTTTTTAATATAATTGGTTTATTTTCGTCGATTTCATTTTGAATATTATCAATTAAAAAGCCACTATAGTTATTTTCTAATGTTGACTAAAAGATTTAAAAAAAAGTTTAAGATCTTATACATTATGCGTTTTTCCGTATGTCAGATAGACATGTAACTTTCGTGCTTGGAAACAACTTTCTTTTGCTCAATAATGCTTGCATATCACTCAGAAAATCAATTTAAAAAACAAATAAAGAATTTTTCAGCGAAAAACATCTGAAGGAAAGCCCCCTTCTGACATTTTTTTTTCGAGAAAATGTCTTGTACCATACATTGTCTGCACTTATTCCGAGCATACTATTGATTTTCAATAGAAATACTTTGGAATCTGGAAAATTTGTTGTATGGTTCAAGAGCATTCTGATACAGTTTGAGTGGATATTGAATTAAAACTAAGGTTACTAAGCGTACGAGGAAATATCCCTAAATGTCAAATTGCTTTTGAGTCGAAACTATATGCATCATATAGGTTCTAATGAGCTATGGATACCTTGACTAAGAGTTCAGACTAATAGCTTATTACTACCGAGATACTGCATTTTTTCCGCAGAATGCTCTAGTCTCCCTCAGGAAAACAAAGTTTCGAATTAAGGCTTATCTGTAGGCATTGTTTCAAGTCGAAATTTAGTTTTTCTGGTGTTCCGGAGACAGCGAACCATGACATCCTACTTATAAAAATGTAATAAGCTATTAGTCCGAACTCTTTTCAGAGTATTCATAATTCATTAGAGTCCACATGATGCACAGAGTCTCAAGTCAAAAGTGATTTTTGACACTTAGAAATAATCCCTCGTTAACCGTTTCGAAAATTAGTTTAGAAAAAATTTTTTATTAGGCATGATTACTAATCCCTGTCCAGTTGGTGGGAAGGTCTGAAAATTTAGGACCCAATGGACTCTAGTGCCTAGCATCTGTTTCAAAAATTGATTTTCTCATTGATACTAATGTTTCCTAACTAATTTTTGAATTCCGATTGTTCTACTCTTAATGAAAGGATAACTTTCATTTTGTTTTTTTGTCTAGTGGATGTGCATTGTACCCTCGTCATATGTATATTAAAAAGTCAATCTAGTTTAATTTACCTCTTTTTCTTTTTCATTTAATTTCTTATTTTTCTTTTTCGATTCTTCAACATTTTCTTCATCATCAATAAACATAGCTTCTAATTCATTATCATCAATTATACTATCATCATCTTTATTTAAACGTTTTTTCCAACGATCAATAAAATGTGGATAAAGTAAAAATGGATGTCTAAAAAATATTTACAAAAAAAAAAAAAAATTTATAAATTTTGCTCTTTTTAATTCTTACGTCCATATTTTTTGTAAATATTGATAATCAGCAAATAATTTTGCTGATTTAAAATCTTTTTTAGATATAGATGAACGTTGTGTTTGATCAACTTGTTGTTTTAAATATATATCATATAATTTTGATTGTAAATCACTTAATCTTATATTAATAATATATTCAAATTTTGGTGGTAAATATTCTTTTAATAATGAATAATCTCTACGATCAATAAAACCAGTTAAAAGTTCATGTAAAACACATGCACGTCGTTTCATTAAACGAACATCTTCTTCATTTGAATCACGATGTTGACCATTTTGAATTGGATTAACAAAACGATTTATATATTCAGATTGACTACCAAGTAAATTTGGTTTAATAAATGATACCATACAATAACTAATGAAGAAAAAAAAAACAAGTTTTAAAATAGGAGAAAAAACAAAACAAAATGATTTTTTTGAAATTTACTATTCAATAAGATTATTTTGTAATGGTGTACCAGTTAAAACAATACGACGAGATGTTTTAATTTTTGATAAACATTTTGCAAGAGCTGTTTGAGCATTTTTTAAAATATGTCCTTCATCAGCAACTAAATATGAAAATTTTTCTCTAGAATCATTATTCAATCAATTATTTATTTGAAAGAGATATTTAGCAGTCAAACAACTGATGAGAATTCTTGCAACAACTTGAAACTAACAATAAGCATTGTCTCAAGTGTCGCACAGTTAGTTTGACTATGCAAAGATCTAGGTGTTACTGTATTATACGAATTCATAGATAGCAATTGAACAAGTCTTCATAATACTAAACAAGTTTCTAGTTGACTGTGCAAGAATATCTTGAACTCGATGAAGACTTGGAATAGAAGCGTATTTTTTCTTTAATCGATAAAAATTGATGAAACATTTCCTATGTGTCAATTCGATTTTCAGTTAAGAGTTAATCTATCTTGTAGACCTTTTCAGCAAAAACGTATTTTCGAATTTCAATCTCAATTAGACTAGCATTCATAAAGAATTTCAGATTTTTTGGACTAGTTCTCTCAAAGACATAGTACTTTATAGACTGTTTTCCATAGAGAGCATATACAGCGTGCATTTTTTTTTTTAAAAACTTCATATCTCGGAGAGACTTGATGCGAAAATTTTGAAATTCTTTATCTGGACGAAGTTTCCGATCGAAATTGGAAAATACGATCTTACTGCAAATGTGGGGTTCTACAGTGAGCATTCACTAAAAACGTTCGATCTTCTCAGTAACAGGACATAAACACGAAGACTTTTTCTGATAGATATAGTTCACTGATGTCTACAAGATATACTAATGAGGGAACTACGCGAACTGTTACTTGTCGTTTAAGCCTACTCGATAAGACTAGAAAAAGTTTAAAAGAGTTTGTGCCAATAAGCCTCTAAGGGTTGAGTTATGATCGTTTTACTGAACTTTCGATGTGAAATTCAGTCGATGGATAGGTCAAAATTATGTTTTTTGAAAAAATGAGTTCAAACAATGGATTATAATTGACGTAGTTCCCTCGTAAGATCAAATTAACTTTCAATTATACCTCGGATTATATCTATTCACTAGCAAATCATGTTTTGAATATTATCCTGAAAATGTGTGATGCTTTGCAATACATCACATATTCGTCTTCTTCTCATTGATCAAGTTTTTAATATTAACTTTATATGCAATTAGAGATTTCAATATTATAAAAAAATTCTTGTAGTTATAACATTTTTCATTTTCTATTAGAAATGCAAATCTTTGAAAAGATATCAAAATTTTTGTATAGACAAAAATGCTGAAAAAAAAAATAATATCTAAATTACCAGCAATATCTGGTCCTGGATCAACAAGACATTTATATGCGTCAGCTTTAAGTTTTTTATTTTTAAGTCCAAAACCATTTGCTAATCGTCTATACATTTCATAACCCATAATAACAACTCCACCATTTTCGTACCAATAATTTAAATGACTAACACGTAAATTTGGTTTAACTGTTGTTAATTGATAACAATCAATAGGTGGTTCAACATCTGTTAACCAATGATCAAATTCATTTGACCAATTAAGAGCTATATAAAAAAAAAAAAGCATCTTTATTGTAATAAATTAATATTTCAAATTCTTACCAGCATTAATTGGACAAAGAATAAGACATGTTTTTACTTTAGTTATGTTATCATAATTAAAAACTGTATGAATAAAACTAATAACTTGTAATGTTTTACCTAAACCCATACAATGAGCTAAAATACAACCATTACCATTACGTTTTTTATTTTTAATAGCATCAATTGATTCAAAAACATTATTCCATAAAAATCTTACACCATCACATTGATGTGGTTTAAGTTGTTCAACTAATTTTGATGAAACTTCAATTAATGGTTCATTTGTATTTTTATCTAATTCAAGTATTAAACGATGATTTGAAGTATTTAATTCATCACTTCCATTATTTGACATATAAGATGATTGTTCAAGTAAAGTTTCATTATATTCTTTTTGTTTTTCAGCTATACGTTTTCGACGTTCACGTTCAGCTTCAATAGCATCTTTTGTTTGTATATCTAATTCTTTATCATCAATTATTTTTCGAATATTTTTTCGACCATGTTTTCGTTTAGTTGGAGAAACTCCTTCTTCTTCTTCTTCTTCATCATCATCTTCTTCTTCTTCGTCTTCATCTGTTGTACTATTATTTTCATCACCACTACGTTGTAATTTAGTTTTTTTTGTTTTTGTTTGATTATCACTATTATTATCAAGACTATTTTCATTACTACCAGTAGTTCGAGTTGATGTTGAATTTTTCTTGTCTCGTGTTTTACGTTTTATTTCTTTTAAAATACTTGAACGTTCATTTGAAACACTTCGTCTTTTACGTTGTTTTCTAGAATGTTTTGTTGAAATATCATTATCATTATTTGAATCTTCAGATGATGATGATGATGATGATGATGAACGTTGAATTCGGATTCGACTTGATGAATGCTTTGGTGAAATAGTAGATGCATCTTCAGGAACTGTTGATTTCTAGAATTTAATAAAATGTCACGATTAAATTTATATACAATTTTAGAATTGATATAGGGAATACTAAGGAAAGAATATCGAATGGTCATATGACTTTTGAAATTATGATTTTAAAACTACTCTCGATAAGATTAGAAAAATCTAAATTAGAAAATTTTAATGAGTAGAGGCATTAATTCGACCGGCTGACGAGAGCACCGACATCCTGTTAGTTTATATTAAGACTAGTAAAAGTCTAAAAGGGTTTGTTTCCATGAGCATTTGAAGTCGAATTGTAATCGTTTTACTGAATTTTTACCCAAAGATAAAATAGTCACTAGTGCCTGCATCTGACTCTGAAAATATTGAATCCGACAGGCTCTACGTTTTACAAGCATGATGCACTTGGCAATTTATTATCTCGACAGAGGAACATTCTTTTCGACTGAAATTTTCAGAGTATTTTATGGATTATTAGGCCTATCTATAGGCAAAATTCAGTAAAAGGTGTGTGTGGATGTTTTAAGCAAAATTAGTGCTCCTATGATGTAACATTAAATTTATATTATCATCAAAATACTAAAAAAATAAAAAATTCCCTAGATAACCTAATATTTTGAGAATGCAGCAGTTATCTTACTGCATATTTTCCGAGAATGTCTAAATATTGTTAATCCAACATGCATATACAATTTCAGTCTGTCACAATTCTACTAGAACGACTATAATTCTGAAATAAAGACCGGCGAATTTTTTGTTTAATCTCATCGAAAATCCATGTATTCTTCTCTTCTATATTCAAGAGAAATACAACTTCGTATGGAAAAATGTTACTTTTTAATCTATTATTGAATATAGGTAGTCATATCAATATGAACATTGAACTTTAGTTATACTAATGATATTCATGAGAATATTGTTTAAAAATTAAAATATGTTTTTTTTTTTTCTTTGAACGCTCAAAAAAAAAACAAAATCAACAATACCAATTTATTATCATTGTCATTATCATCATCATCATTATCACTAGACGATGAAAATGATGATAGTACAACTCGTTGTTTAATTGTAAGTTTTGATTTCTTTTTAACTGTTGATGTATCAGAATTTGATGATGATCGTGTCGAACGTTTGCCATTAATTAATTGTTTTTTATCTTTAACAGATGATTTTTTTTTATCATTATTATTTACATTTTCATTATTCGAATCTGATGATGATGATGATGATGATGATTTTGAACGTGTAAGCAAATGAGCATATGATGGAACTTCAATTGGTGGTCTGAAGTAAAGAAAAAAACGAATTTCATATATTTACAGTTATATATAAAAAAAATATTTGATTATTTCAATAAATACAAAAAAGTTATTCCAAAGGCGACTATAAAATTTTGAATACAGAATGAGATGTATGTAGATTTGTAGAGAAAGATTTCTTCTATCTAATAGTGTAAGTATGATCAGATTCTACTACAAGCTGTTGGCATGTCGATAGGTGACATCACGTATCGACATATCAAAGATGGAATCGATTTGAAAAGCTGCTAACGGAACTGATCCTATCTATGATGCATGTGCTATTATATAGAGAAAGTCTTTCTCTAAAAGCCTATATATATATATATATATTCTTTTCTGTAGTCATAAATCATCGAAAAATTTATAATCGCCTTTAGCATCAAAAGGATAAATAATAATGATTATATTCAAAAAAAGAAAGAAAATGTTTACCCATCATGAGTAGAATCTTGAGTTGATGATGAATCAATTTCATTGTTCAATGGATCTTCTATATCATCATTAAGATTTGTTTCCATTTGTTTATCTGGAGTTATATCAAGTGATGTAAATATTGATTCATTATCATTATTTTCTATAACATCTTTTAATATTTGATCTTCATCCATTGGAGTTATTTCTTGAGTAATAGCTAATGAATCTTTTAATATTGGTTCATCTAATGATGATTCATTTTCTATTGTTGATGGTAGATTATAATTTATAATAATATCATGTTTTTTATGAGAACGATTTGCATGTTTACGTAATTTAATTGGTGATCTTTCAGTTTTATTTAATAAAGATTTTCGTGTACGAGTTTTAATATTAAAATCATCATCATCGTCATCAGATGATGAAGTTGTTGTTGATATTTCATTATTTTTATGTATTTTAGATGATGTACTAACTTGATCATTATCAGATGTTAGTAATTTTTCTTTAGCTTTCTTCTCATCATTGGATGAAATATCAGAATTATTATGATTAGTTTTAGATGGTGTTAATGTTTCGAAAATATTTGAATTTCTTGGAACTAATAAAAGAAAAATTGAAAATAGTTTATTATATTGTAAAGGATTCTATAAATAAGATCCTGGCAATTCAAAATCTTAGCAAAAATAGTTTTTTTTTTTGACGTTCTATTGTCACGGTTGGATTGAGCTGATCAAGTTACCTATAAAAATGTTGTTTTTGTAATAAAACTTTGGAAAATCAGGTTGAAAAAACACCAAAAATACTACGTCTCGATAGTCTCAATGTTTATGTGAACTTTTTTTTAATAGCTTTACTAACAGTATACTTAATACTTAAAATTAATTATCCAAATGGACTATGAATATCCTGAAAATAGTTCATGCCCATAGCTTATTGCTGTGAAGATACTACACTTTTACAGTATTTTGTAAAACATTATCTAAAAAGAATGTTGAAGTATCAGGGTAGAGATTCAGACTATCTTCAGAGACATCAACATCTCTCTTTCATCACAGATCGTAAGTTAAGGGCAGGAACTCTTTTCACGATATTCATAGTTCATTTGGGTCTACCATAATGCACATAGTCTCGATTCAAAAATGATTTCTCAGTTGGAGATCTTCCATCGTAAGACTGAAATTTGATGAAAATTAATTTTAAAAGTTGAATATACTATTCGATGCATTATTTTTTCCTACACATATAACGAGTAAAACCATAAAACAAAAATTTAAATAACTATTGAGACTGATACTTTTGGTATATTACAAATTTTATAAATTTTCCTGGTTTTTTTCAACCTAATTTTCTCACATTTCACTAAAAAAAACATCGTTTGAATATATATCGAAAAACAACATTTTTATAGTGATCTCGTTGAGATCTATCCAACCATAACAGAAAAATGTCCAATAAAAATTTGACTATATGAGACAAATGATAAGTATCTGTCGTAATTTGAATTAGCGATAGATGTTGGTAAAGAAATTGCCAAAAAATTTTCAAATATTTAAATATCAATATTGGCTGAGAAGAAGAGCAGCATGGACATCAGTACGTTTTATATAACAAAGTTTGATTTTTTTGTATTCGATCTTATTTCAACATCAGATAAATGTTTTTTCATTCTTGCAAACTATGACTATTTTTTTTTTTCCTATAAAATATTCTACAAACATTTTAATACTCACTATCATTACTATTTGATGAATCACTAGCAGTAGAAAGTCTTTTTGACTTTACTAAGAAATAAAAAAAGAAAAAAGTATTTTGAACAAATAAATAAATTTCTTTATTTTTCTTTTTACTATTTTTCCATGCTATTGGCATATAACGTTCAACATCAGCTTGTGAAATACGTTTTAAACAAATACTTGGTCTTAATAAGAAAACATCATCATCATTATCTGATGATGATAATTGATCATTTTGATTTTGACTATTATCACTTTGTTCTAATAAAATTCGTTTTGATTGTTCTTCTTCAGTTTCATTATCTGATTGAAAATGTATATTTGATGATATTGGTAATGAACATTCAAAGAATGTTTCATGTGTTGATGTTGAAGCAATAGGTATTTGTTCATTATCACTATTATTTAAACTATCATCATTAAGTAATTTTGTACGATGATATTCTTCTTCATTGTCATTATTTTCTATTGAAAATAAAAATTCATTTTTATTTATTTTCGAAATAGAAGAAAAAATTTAGTTATATACCGATTATTAATTGTTCAAGTTCAACAATTTTAGTTTTAATTAAATTAACTACATGAATATCATTTGGAATATTTTCTAATAACCAAATATTCTTAAATTCTTTTAACCAAATTAATAATTGATTTGTATTATTTTTCATATCTTTAAAATGAAAAATTTTTTTTTTTTGTAATATAGATTCAAAATATATCAATAATATTCACTTGTAGATTATTTTAAATGCAAATATTTCCGTTTGATTATTGTTAGTTTTTATGAATCATTCTTCCTTGTTAGTCTAGTCGTTTTAAAATGTGACCTATAGTTAGTGACAGACACACACTTCTGGAAACAAAGCTTATTGGTAAAATTATCACGACAGGTGTCGTTGTCGCACGAAAGGTTTTGTTATCAGCAGCGCATCAGCAATCAATTCAGTATAATTATATATAAGTCAAGGATTATTTAAACTAATAAGAATACTGAAAAGTAGAGGGAGATAGTGGTACTAAAACTTTAACTTCATTTAAATGAAATGCTCAATTAAGAAAAAGATGCAGTTAGTTGAAAAGTTATTTAATTCAAATATTTATGCGTCAATCAAACACAAACTTGACCCCACTAATTAAATAAATAAATGTGCTTCAATGAAGTCACGTTATAAAGTTTGGTAAAGACTAGTACGTGACATAATACATGGTGAATAATATTAAAATAATAATTGAAAGTTAACAATAAACAAAAATAAGGTTTTCGTTATGAAAGAAAGGAAATGATGGTCAGGTGACTTTCTTCTTCCTTTCTTTCTGTAAATAAAAAAATGTTATGCTTTGTTTTTAACTAACATTTACTATTATAATTACTGTTGTTGTAATTAATCTAAATAAAATAATACAGATTGTTTTATGAAATAACACAAATCGTTCGAATTGTTGTTGGAATTGATCCAAATAAAACGAATATGATTCTTTTTTTTCTGAAGTGATATTCATTTTTTTGATTAATTTAAATAGGAAAAAAAGCATAATGTAGTTTTAAAAGTAACACTTAACATCGAAAGCATTGTTAAAACTAATCTAAAAAACATAACACTGATTTTCTTGAGTTGATATTTATCATTGGAATGCCTCTTGCGACTAGAGCCCATCGGACTCAAACGAGCTCTGGATGAACCCGATGCTCTCTAATTGTGACTAGTCTAAATAGAACAAAAAAATCTTTTCTTTGTAAAAAAAAAAAACATTTACCGTTATCCGAGTGGGAATCAATCTAGATCGACCGATTGAAATTCTTGGCGTAACGGGCAAAAAACTAATCGGTCCAATTGTACATTTCAACAGACGGAAAAAATCAGTGTATTTGAGAAGCCAACTAGTTATAAGGAAAAATTTATTATACAGCTCTACGAAGAAATACAATGTGAAACTCGTATAGCTCTTAGAATTCCTAATAGAGTAATAAGTTCTATTTTAGTTCGTAACGTTCTATATATGCTAATGCTAAGAACGAAAGAGGAAATCTTTCAAAACTTTTCATCTAGCGACTCACAACAACTGATGTTGAAGAACATCAATGCTTGCTTTGTATGAGTTTCTTTACAGAAATTACAACATCCTTGCTGCTAAAGTTATACATTGTAAGATCTTATAGTATGCTGACATTCGACAGGTAAGGTGTGGATAAAAAGAATACTCACAACCCAAACTTTTACATTCAAATTCGCACTGCCAGGCACACATACACACACTCTAGCATGGAAATATCCAACATATGCATAAGATTACCAAACGTGCACCTTTAATGTAAATGTATATATGACTGAATCGAGTTATGCAGAAGAAAGAAAAAAATAACAATAGAATTAATTAACGTCAAACATTACTGTTGCGAATTCTTTCAAGTGCTTTGCAGCTGCTCACTTCATAGGGGTTGACAATAGACTGTGTGTAAACAGTAAGTTGGTTTTTTCCCGTTTCGATGTGAATAAATACAGGATTGTTTGTGCTGTTATTGTGTCATTAAAAAATGGTTGTAGGAGCAAATCTTAAGGTACACACTGAATATATAAGTGTTCTGGTACCACCACCATCGAAGGAACATGAACAGTTAGAATCTGGTTATAATTCTTCAACATCAGCATCATGTTCAGAAATTCTTCCAAAGATCAAAAGGCCAATAACTGCACAGCAAGATAAGCATGGTGAAAAAAAGTCAATATTTCCGGTTAACTCTGATCATTCAACAATAGTACAACATAACTTACAACAACGTCAAACAAAACACGCGTTACAACAGATTAATCATACTCCAATCACCACATATCGTCGTCTAAAGACAGCCAATTCATTAATATCGGTGGATATGATGGTAACAAAAGAGTTCAAATCAAATCAAACGGTGAGTTGTAAATGAGCATTAACTAACTCGAGCGCATTGTCTCATAATTCAATCTTTCTTAACATCCATATTTGTAAATACTTTGTTTGACAAATAGATTTACTTGTTAGTCTGAAGAAAATCGAGCAATTTTTGTATTGTTGATGGCTGCAGAATTTCTTGTTTACAAATAAACTTCTAAAGGAGCTTTCTCGACAAAATAGATCAATTTTCAATTGTAAAAGTTGAATAATCTTTTACAGTATTCTAGGTTAAGTCTCTCTGATATTCTGTTTTCCCTCAAATTATTTCTAAGTAACAAATTCTTGTGTCGAACATAAGAATTCTGTCATCAGATGTCTTATTTCATGACTTGGAAATTCGGAAAATCTTTTACTAAAAAGCATAAGATCTTAGACTGTTTGAGTTTTCATATGTTCTTCAATAATGAGGGAATTTTTCGCATTTGAATGTTGAAATAATGTTTTGAATGTTTTCAAAAAGAAGAAAAACTCGAGTATTTAGAACGAGCGTTCACAACCAAATGCAATTATGTAAACAGTCTTATTCCACCATTTATCACAGTAAACTGTCGTGTTTCGCCGTATCGTAAACTAAGATATATGGTCGTATCCGATGGTCTACAATAAGATTATATACAGCCATAATAGGGTGGATAAACAAATGACGAAAGACAGCTATTAGTGACCGTGTTATGCCGTACCCCGTCTTTTACGATCTGATTTGTTAAAGCTGGATAACATTTATACAAATAAACATCCCATCTTTCGCTCTTTATAGACTAATGTTTTCTGACTTCAGAGATGGTTTAGGCGGATGTAGGTTGAATCCGATGTGATGGTATCTAATGTCCATATAGAAAACTCTCGACATTGAATTCAAGAGAATTATTTTTTTTTGTTATTAAACTCAGTGGGATACGATAGAAGTTTGCTAGGAACTTTAGCATCATCTGATAGTTTGCTCTAAAAAATATCTCGAAGGCAGAAAAATACTAATACTTACAATTCAGACAAGCTCGACAAATATCTAATTATACCAATTGTTGAGTATAGAGCACTTTATCGCGAAATAGTACTTGAAATAGAAAATCGACTTTTCAAAATATTTTAGAATATTTCAAGTGATCGCAGTCCTTGTCTGCTCACTCTCTCAAAATATCAGAAAGAAATTGCCAACTATTCTGATGACTGGGAATCAGATTATTCAGACGATTGCATATCGGATTGTGCAGATAATTGGAGACCAGCTTCAAAAGAAACACCAAAACCTACAAAAATACCTATGCAAAAAGAATCTATAAGTGATTTAAAAACAGATTCGAAAGAAGCAACAAAACCTACGAACGTGTCAACGCAAAAGGAATCTACAAGTGATTTAAAAACAGATCTGAAAGAACCACTAACGTTTATAAATGTACGCGAACAACCTCAGTTTGAAACGGATTCATCGAATAATAATATACGTCTAGTGCCATCTGATCTCAACGCTTTTGAACCTGCGTTCTGTCAGCAACGCCAAGCAGCCATCAACAATATGGCCTATCGAACAGCAGTTCATAGCTGGAAGGCAAGAAGTATTAATGATGTTGTTAAGCTCATACTTGAGTTATCATTCGGCAAAAGCTTGATCGACCGAGCTTGGATTGTATTCTATTGGGTTTCTCAAAATATTGAGTACGATATTGAATCTTATTTTAATGGAAACATTCGACATCAAAGCACTGAAGACGTGTTTAACAACCGAAAAGGAGTTTGTGATGCCTTCGGTACAATTTTCGAGGCTCTGTGTAATGGAGTCCAGTTAGAATGCAAGAAAATCAGTGGATACGCTAAGGGCCACAGTTTTAAATTGGAAAAATCAACTTTTGATCGAACAAACCATGCTTGGAATGCTGTTCGTATTGATGGCCATTGGTATCTTGTCGATCCGACGTGGGGTGAAGGGTACATAGACAATAAAAATCACAATGTAAAAAAGTTAAATCCATTTTACTTCCTCGTTCGTCCAGAACAGATGATTTATAGGCATTTGCCTGAAAATTCACAATGGCAATTATTGAAAACTCCTGTTTCGATGGGAGAATTCGTACGGTTACCATATGTCTATTCAGATTATTTTGAGCTTGGTCTTCATCTAGTGTACCCATGCCAATCTAATATGGCGTCGTTTAACTCAAATAAAGAACTAGCTGAAGTACTTTTACGAGCTCCGCAAGATATAGATTGCATAGCCAGCATACAGCACGCAGGATATAAGGAAAACGAAGCTACTTGTCTAGTTCATTATGATATCGATCGTCAGCTTTGGCAATGTCTCTTTGCACCACAGATAGGTGGTTTTCATACGTTAACCATATTTGCTAGGCGAGTAACGCAGATGGAAACTAGGAACATCAATAATGAAGAAAGCTATTCTTGTGTAGTTCAATTTGGATTACAAGTTCCAGATGGTTTCAATGGAAGAAAGACTTTTCCAACAACATATTCTACATTCAGCAAACATAAATGTCAAATCATGGGACCTTTTGATGGCAGTCTCAAAGCGGGCTCAAAAGTGACGATTCAATGTCGTATTCCTGGTGCTTATTGTGCTCGACTTTTACTTGATGAAAATTGGCTTTCTGAAGACATTCTTAAAAATGATATGTTCAAAAGAGAATTTACTGTTCCTAAACGGGAAATCGTGATATATGTCCAATTCTCTGATAAAAAGAATCGATCAAGCTATGATGGACTATACAAGTATTCAGTTCATTAAACTGATTAAGCAATGAACACTTACATGTATCAGAAAATAGTGAACATTTTATTAAATAACTTCCTGATTTCTTTTATTAAACTATCACCAATAAATCAACAATTTTGAAGTGATAATATAAAGTTCGAAGAAAGATTCGAAAACTATTGAAAGTGAAGGTGAAGGTGAGTCGGTGATTAGTCGAGTATGGGTGTGGGTGTCATTGAAGGTGGTAGAACACCTACACACTCACACCATCTTGCTGTCAATAGAGTGTAAATATACAAATAAAAATTGTTTCTTCATTTGCATCACAGTGACGGACATCCGTTGATTCTCATAACATTTTAGTTCCCTGCTTATTTCTGTGACTACTTATTGTGTGATGAGAGTGAATCAGAGTGAGGCTACATCTTTTGTAGAAGATTATTCTCATCTATCCTTGGACGAATACCTCAGTTTCGCAATGGTCTGATGGATGCTCTCTTAGAGGAACATGCATTTGAAGTTTTCACCATTTGCGAGTATTGAATCTAGAATCCAACGGATGATTCATGTTGTGTCAACAGTAAGTTCTACTTCTGTGCTTCAAAATTTAATTGAGATGCGTAGCAAGCAAGAAAAACAAGGAGGAGTAACTTTTCAGAGAAAATACAATAGCTCTTATTTTACATGCAAGTATCTGATTACAATCCCTTCTTTGTGTTGTTATTTATTCTATTGTTTAAATAGTAGAGACAAATGGGTTAAGAAGAGAATGGGAGCTTTTTTTGATCGACAACGGCTATTAGAAGTTGATATAATGTGGAGAAAAGTATCCACACTTCTGATCTCCTTGAACTTCAATAGTTTGATTTTATGCAGATCTGATAGATAGCGACGCAGGTATTATGAGAGAAGATGAAGAAAACAACATAAAAAAAAGTAAGGTGTCATATAGACGAAGTAGATGGAATTTGTTAATAGTTGTTGGTAGCTTATCCTTTGTTTACCTCTTCTTTTCTCATTCATTTTTTTTAAGGGAACGGCAAGAAGCACTGTACTAGAACAATCTTTTTCTCTTTCGAATACAAATGGACGATAACGGAACTGGTTTCTCGTGCATCTTAGCTATACAGAATTCATTGGTTCTAAACAGCATGGTTGATTGAAGTGAAGGCAACCATTGCATATCATTGTTCGGCCAAAAAGCCTCAATGACGATTATTTTACCGAATTGCAGATAAAAAAAAGATGAGGTTTAGACTAGAAAATTGAATGCCCATTGTTACACATTCTTACAGCTTTCGATAGATTTCAAAGTATTTCCAATTTTTAAATTTATAAAATATATTCAAGTCCACTTTTCTCCCTTAAATTAGATGCATTAAATATGTTGAGATAGGTTTCTTTTTTCTAATAAAATTGAGGGATGAGATGAAAACAAGATTTTTCAAGTCATATTACAAAGCCGCTTATCTTCTTTTTGTTTCTCTCATAATACTTCTCAGGATCAGACAAGAGACGATGTTTTCATCCCTCTAACAATTCTGTCTTATGATACACCAGTCTTATTGTTTTTTTTTGTTCTCTTTCCGGACACAGATAGGAATGGCGTTCTTTTCTATCACATGATCATAACTTCATGTTTTTTTCGCTTTGAACATTTTCTTCTCATTCTTATAATATTCTAAATTAACATTTGAACGCAACATATTACTCTTTCTTTTTCTTATTTTCACTTTCTCTATCAAACATACATTATCTTGTTTTACATTTAATCCTTATTTACAGTAAAGGGAGAGAACATGAAATTAACTTATAGATAAAAAAAGTAACTCATTTGCATGAAGAGGCAACACAACTTTAGTAGCAGCAACTTCCAAGAAAAAAATGAGTTTCACAGCTGAACAAGCTCGTTCATGAGTAGAAATGAACATTCTATTTTACTTTAAGGAGGATTCTACGAGATGATTTCGAGGTCCGTCCATCATATATCGCCTCTAGAAAGTGAAGTTCAGCTAAAGTTCCGCAGAGCTTCAGGTAAAAGGCTCGCTGTAAATCGTTTGTCTTCAACATAATCCAAAATGAAGTAAGTTTGTGTTTTTCTATAATCTTATCAAAAGAAGTTGTTTTCTAATTTTGATATGTTCAAATCTGTCGATTGGTGTCTCACTATGAGACTCCTATATAGTGATGTGTCGTTTTCTTTTGCTTTCTTTATTAACAGCACATTCGTTGTAACTTCGTTTTTTTTCTCACTTATCTCAGAGTCGTTCATGTAATTTCTCGTCTTGTTAACTTCGTTCTTTGCCAACAAACAGGTTTTAATAAAGCATGAAAAAGAGTTAAAAGAATCTGTATACATAAGCATCGCTGTCTAATTTCCGGTTGCTTCATTAGTTTTCTACGTATAGCAGGAAATGAAAAAAGAAAGGGAATGATTCAATTTTGACCCTAAATAGTTGTTCCAGTAATTCGAGTGTTCTGGATATTGCAGCAAGACAAATGACTTTCTTTCTCCTGAAGCAATGCATCTCGAAGAAAAAACAGCTTCATTTACGCATTCAGCGTTTGTAAGTGTTACTTTCTTGTTGAATGCAGAAAAAACAATTCGATTGGATTATTCCTGAATTGTTTTTCTCTCTGTCAAATCCGAGATATATCAACAAGCGAAAAACATTTACTAATAAGTAACCACTCTCGGGCTCTTGCCGTTTTTTTTATTTTCAATTAGTTATTTTCACGCATAGGATCTCGTTTTCTTGATGTTGAAACAGCAATCTATTTCTTCAAATGTGATTTTTCGAATGAATTTACTAATTTAAAAAAAAAGTGTTTCGTTGTTACAAGATTTGTGTAGAGATTAATTTTGTATGACTGAAAATAAATATTATAGATAAAATATATATATTAGATCTGAAATCATCGAATCAAAATGTCAACGTCACTTGGTGAATCTCTTGCGTTTATTGCACAAAAAGCGTGCATTTATTTTGGTATCCCACTACTTATTGTTGGTACACTTGGAGGACTTCTCAACGTGATTGTATTTCTAAGTCTTCAAACCTTTCGAGAAAGTTCATGTGCATTCTATTTAACAATCATGTCAATTGTCAATGTTGGTCAGTTAATAACGGGCCTCTTAGTTCGTATCATGATCACCGGCTTTGGTATTGATTGGACGCAAACTTCATTAATTATCTGTAAATTGCGATATTTCCTTTTTCCAATAGCTGCATTAATTTCATTTACAAGTATCACCTTGGCAACGATGGATCAATACTTTGCTACTAGTTTTCGTCGTCGTTGGCAAGAATGGAGCAATATCCAAGTAGCTCATCGTCTAATGGCAGCATTTAGTATCATTTGGATCCTTCATGGAATTCCATATTTGGTCTTTTTTAATCAAAATATTTCGTCTGCTACAGGCAAAGTCATTTGTAACTCTCCAAACGATATCTTTGCACAATATCGTTTTTATTTTGTCACTCTTGTGCTCACAGGTTTTCTTCCTGTTGTTATTACAATCTTGTTCGGATACTTGGCATATCGCAATGTACAACACCTGGCTCATCGAACATTGCCTCTTGTTCGACGTGAACTCGACAAACAATTGACAGTGATGGTTCTTGTACAAGATATCGTCAATGCCTTTACTGTTGTGCCATACGCTATTATAACGACTCTTACACTAAACACAAGCCTCATGAGTAATCCTGTTATCGCAACAAAAATACAGTTTATTGCTACTCTAACTGTCTTGTTATATTATGTTAACTTTGGGGTAAGATATTCATCTATCAGAAAACAATATAAATCATCATTCTGTTTAAAAAAATATTTCTACACATTTCTAGAGCCCATTTTTCATCTATATCTGTGCATCCGAACGATTTCGTCGACAATTGATCTATGTGGTTTTCACAATTCATTTTGAACGATGGCGACGACCAAGAATAGTTGTTAATCAAGTGTCACCGGAATCTTAAAGAACACTGGTTTATATTCATTTAATGAATGTACACATTTCAACATTTAAACAATTTCTTTTTCTTTAAATCATTTTATGTCAAATACATATTGTATTTTCATGAGTACAATCTATTAGAATCATCAAATTGAAAAAGCACATGCTATAACTGCGAAACATCTTTTGAAGGATCAAAGTGATATACAATATTGACTGCGAGTTCGGCCATAATCTTCGGTACATAGAAAGAATAAAGCTAAACTGAATGACCAAAGAGTTCTTACTCGATCTGTTCGAATTTCTGTTCATTGCTTATCTCATTCATGCCTTTCATAGTTGGAATTCTCGATTTGACAATTTGCTCTGGCAAAATTTCTAATTTTGTGCCACTGTGACCTGGAATCGTAATGGTATTACAGTGGCCGGAGGAAATGACTATGGATCAGCATTGAATCAGCTGGATCATTCCGATGGTTTTTTTTATAGATGACGGTGGTGCTATTTATGTTATGGATGCTTTCAATAATCGTATTGTCTCAGCCAGCAAAAGTTAGTATTGAACTATTTTCCTCTAATGCTGATGCCATTATCTGAAGTATCATTAAATTGGCTCGATGTTTCTTCAGCAAGATGTTGTATTCACATCAAAGAGGTTTTCTATCAAATATTGTAACTAACACATCTACAATTGTGATGCACAGTTCATTTTTCGTCATTTTTCAACTCTCTTGTTTCTTCCTTTTACGATTCTCATTTTTTCAAAGAAGTTCAGCTCAAAATCGATATCGACACGGACACATTGATCATTATAACATCGATATTCATTTTCGACACATTCGACTTTCCAACAATTGAATTCTTCACATCCACTCTCATGATCATTTCGTTTTCCTTTTATCACAAATCTCTTGTCAATCTACATAAGAATGATGTTTAACAATCAAGATATTCGTAACACGCGGGTGTGGATCTTATTTACTCTCTAAACTCATACCCATATTCTCAAGAAGTCTATTTGTTAGTATTTATTTAATACGCAATTTTTTGTTTCTTATTCATATCTCGGCGA